TTCCAGCCTTGGGTGACTGTCTGTGTGGAGTTGGCATGTTTTCCCTGGCTCTGCGTTGGTTTCCTTTGGATGCTCCGGTTTCCTTCCATAGTCTAAAGATGCGCAGGTTAGGTGGATTGGACAGGCTAGATTGCCCATGTGTCGAGGGATGTCCAGGTTAGGTAGGTTTTCCATGATAAATGTGAGGTTATGGGGATAGGGTTGGGGGAGTGGGTCCCTTTTGAATGTCAAGCTCTCTGAGCATCTCGTACGTTTCAATCAAGTTACCTCTTCCTCTTGTAAACTCCAATGGATACACGCCTAGATGTACAATGGTCTGTATTGGGAGAACCAGCCTGGTTCTCAACACAAGGATCCATTAACAAACACATAGAAAGAGACCCTGTATACAAACCGCTGCTAAAACAACAGAAACGGAAGCGACAAGACCATCACACCAGAGGATCATATAAATCCGGAAGGAAGCAGAACACCAACGCTTTGATTAGAGGTCACGCTGATGATGTTGCCTAGAAAGGAAACAAAATGTCTGCAACACCACAGAACAACCAGCTCAGTGAGCTAACAAGCAACTGCAGATATCAATGAGGTTAATATACCAAAGATTAAATCAAGCTTTTTGTTTAAAGGTTCTGAGCCACAGTGTGTTTCTTTAAGAGTTATAAAGAATTTGAACAAAGATGGATGATTATTATAGAAAATAGTTGGATGATTTTTTTCTGATGTGCCTTCAAGGGACCTTTCTAAAAGTTTGGTGAAAATGTCTGGCACTATTAAAGCTTTAAACATTCTGGATTGCTGTTTCTGATTTACCGATTGCACAAAAACTTGGAGAACATTTGTGGAGCTATTGAAGAAGCACCCAAGTGTCTGTTTATAAATACAAATATACAAATATGTGAAGTTGGAGCATGAGTAGACTATTCTGTCCTTCAAAGCTGCGCTGTCACTCAATAAGATCATAGCTGATCTGATTACTATGCATTCCACCTAACCTTTCCGCCTCTTTCTTACCAAGAATCTATCTACCTTAGCTTAAAAATATTCAAAGACTTTGTTTCCACTGACTTTTCAAGAAGAGAGATCCAAAGAATCTTGGACCTCTGTGAAGAAAAAAACTCCTCATCTCTGCCTGAAATTGGCAACCTCTTATTTTCAAACATTCTTCTAGATTCTCCCACAAGGGGGAGCTCCCTTTTGAATATCCAGCCTGTCCAAGCATTTCCATTAGGCATGGCTATGTTCATTTATGGGGTCTCATAACAGAAGATGGAAGATAGAAGAATCTTAAGACTTTTATAAAGTCAGTCCACTTATATTTAAAACTGAGTATTTGGTAGAAAGACTTATTAAGGCTATAGAAATGCAAAGGGGTGTCCTTTGTGTGTTGGGCCATGAAAGGTGGAAAAATATCTCAGCCTGTGAAGAAGTCGGGAGCTTCAATCTTCACTGCAGAATGTGGGAAAACCTCCAGAAGGCAAGAGCCCACCACTTTGATTGGTTAGAAAGGCAGGAAAAATCTCAGGAAGCCGTACAGAGATATGGCATAAGTATTTAACACTATTTGAAGTTTGGAAGAAGTAACATTGGAACCTTTTTCATTGTCTCAACGCCAGTCACACAGAACAAGCTTCTGATTGTTTGTGAGGCCAGGCCTGGAGTCTAACTGCAGGCTCAGTCTTGAGCGAAAGGGCTCCTATAGACACAGCAATCCTGGGAAGAGCATTGTGCTTAAACAGATATGAGAATTTAACTATTAACAAGGAGGGTATCTAGGCATTGGTTCCAGCAAGTCTGGAAGAAACCCTATATTCAAGCAGAAGGCAGGTGTTGAATGGTAATTGAGGCCTTGGGAAAAGATGGACAGTGTCTCAGGGTGGAACCATAAAGTTGGTTTTTGATCTGTGTTTTCAGTGGAAATGAGCTTAGCTCCTGATGACACAGCAGGAAGATTTGAAAGCTCCTTGACTAATCTCTCACACCTACTTTTGGAAGCCCAAGGAGTAGAAATCTGAGTAGAACTATTGCTAAATTTACCTGAGTGAATTGAGAAGGTGCCCTGATCAATGGTTCAAGAAATCCACCCAAGGAATCCACATCTATGCCTGTGAAACAATGTTATGAAAGCCATTAAAGTAACCTGACCCGTTTTGTTAATTTCTTTTATTTATTTTTTAATTGTGTGTGTGTGTCTGTCTTTTATGTAAATGGGGACTGAAAAAAATGTTTTAGGGTTAAAGCATAGACATTAGTTGGATTATCTTGTTCAATTTTTCTCTGCTGAAATTATGTGTATTTAGTAAATTGTTATGTCTTTTGTTTGAGTTACAAAACCACTACCTGGAATTAATTATTCACAAATTCTGGGGCTGATTATTCAAAGGTCTGGTTAGAAACTATTGGAGATCTTAATTTTTAATTTTCCTATGTTGCAAACAGAAAGGCTGATTTAGCTTGGCCATCTGTCTCCATATCATAGCAATAACATAATACAGTTTTGCTATTTAACTGAAAAGTTTTTTGGAAGAATTTCATGTGGTATTGCCATGATACAACATTTTAAAACCAGCAAAGGAAATACTACAGCATTGTGATATTACAGAAGTATTTAGACTTCAAGATAACTGAAATAAAACAGCATTGATTTGATGCAAGAAAATAAGCTTAAAGACAACAGATTACAAACAGCACTGAGATGCTACAGATTTAACATTAATAAGAAATTGAAGAAGATATAATACCTCCAAAAATAACAGGATTGGACACTTTGAAGAAAACAATTCTTGAGATATAGAATCTCTTAAAAAAAAACTGAAGCTAAACAAATTCACAAGCTATTATATGCAGCAGGTTCTATAATGGACAGGTAACAAAACTTCTTAGGGATGGACCCTCCCCATCTGTGGCTAATTAGAAAGGTTAAAGGTAATATTGAATAAAAAGGAAAATCATATAATTGTGCAAACATTGGTGGTAGGTAAGAAGATTTGGCAGAATATAAACAAAATGACCAACATATTAATGCCGGGGCGGGGGGGTAATGGGGTGAGGGTGAGAGCAGAATTAGAGTATGAGAGAAAGCTATCCATATAAAAGCATATGTAGTAAGAGTTTCTGTAGATACTTTAAAAAGAGTTAACAAAGTGGCCTCAAAATATTGAAAATAAGGCACTGATAGATGAACTGATCAATATTTTCCACAAATTTTCACTATAGAGGATACAAGTGACATCCCATTTGCATCTATAAAACAAATGGAAGTAAAGGAAGAAAATCACAATCACTAGAAAAGTGAGACGAGTAAATTGTTGAAGCTGCAGGCTAACAGTGACTAGGTCCTGACGGACTTCATCCTAGGGTCATAAAAGTAACATCTAGTTAGACAGTTAATGCCAGATCTTCGCCTATTCACTTAACATATCTATAATTAATGAATCCTGTTATAATGTACTTGTACCTGTGTGTATGTGGTAACTTAGTGTGTCAGTTCAATAATTATCCAGGATAAACACTAATTTTATAAAATACCATATTTTTAACTGCCTAGTTTTTTGAGATGAACTATTAAATGGAATCCTCCAAAATCTCTGATTTAATTGGATATGTTCAGAGGGATTCATATGAAGAGGAATTACCCATTGGATTCTTCGATTTCCCAGGCAATTCCCTCAGAGTCTGCTACTTCAGGATTCTGCAAAGTCCCAATCGTGATGTGCAACTTATGTCGACACTGTACCTCAGAGCAACACACTAAATGCAAAATGTAAATCATTTCTCTCTCTCATTGTTCGTGTATCCAGTTTTTATGTTAGGTTGTTGTCATGTCTCTCACTGATGTTTAGACTTATTCCTTGAGATTTATTTACCTGAGCGCCTAGTTCCAAAACATGAAAGAGAAGAAAAATTTCTGTGTCTTCGGGGAAGGTAGCTGAACAGGGCAAAGATTACCTGTCATTTCCACAGATAGTGAAGGAGGAAGGTCCAAACTCACCCTATATGATTGAATCTTTATTTCCATTTCCAAAATTTTTACAGTTAATACTGTGGTGGTGATTGTAACAAGGTCAACCAGCTGGACGTCGTAGAATATGGGTTCCCTGATTGAGGCTGTTAGTCTGGTCCAATCAGGGAGCCCTGGCTAACAGATAAAAAGGGTGTCAAAGATGCTGACACTCTGGTACCTGACTCAGTATGAGACAGTGCAGTAGTCAGATTGTTCACATGTAAATAAAGGGTGACTGCTGATGAGATACTGGTCTCTGTGGAATTATTTCATACTGTATGTAAGTGTTCCAAGAAAATGAAAAGGAAATACAATTTTCTTATTACCTGTATTCAAGAAATGCTACATATTTATTTAGCATTTTTAATCACAGAGATAGACCATGCAGCACAACAGGTAGAAGGGTCCTGACCCAAAACATCAACTTTTCTGCTACTCTGATGCTGTCTGGCCTGCTGCATTCCTCCAGCTGCACACTGTTATCTCTGACTCCAGCATATGCAGTTCTTACTATCTCCAGGTTTAGGTCTGTGTTTGTGCTCTACAGGTATCTCCCCACACCCGACTTTATCTTCCCTGAACGTACTGACACCCTAACAGGTTACATCATAATAAGTATCATATGTTCCAGTCTACAAAGGGAAGGAGGGAGGAAAGGGAGGCATGATGAATGAGTGTAGGAGGGCGAATGCTGGGGGAGGGAGGGAGAGAGTGTAAGGGAGAGGAGTAAAGAAAGGGCGTGGATGGGAAGAGGGAAGGGAAGCAAGAGGAAACGAGACGAGGTGGGGAGGGAAGTGAAGGGGTGAGTGTGGGTGGGGAGAGAGTGTGGGTGGATGAGAGGATGGGGTGGGGGGAGAGAGTGTGTGGGGGGGAGGGGGGGGGGAAGGATGGCAGAAGGGGGGCGTGAGAGGAGAGGGCGAGCTTGGGGAAGAGAGTGTGGGGAGAGGATACGGTGAGGGGAAGGGATATTGAGTGGACGAAACCGGATTAGAAAGAGGATAACGGTTACACAGGGTGAAGACACTACGCACAGGAGAATGGGCAGCTACAGAATCGCCACCAGATGGAGTACCCGGCGTATTTGATTGGTTGCTGCTTGCCGCGCTGTGCATTTTGATTGGATACAAGTTAGAACGTATCATCGTCAATTATACAAGAGATGTCGACCAAAAGGGAAAGAAGCGTTTCTGATTGGTTACCAATGGGCTGCTTCCAACCCATTGGTCTGTGGGTCCAGGCGGCCTCTGCTTGGTGTGAGTTGATTTCTGATTCGTTTGATTCCCCGGGAAGGTGCGTCTGCGCCCTTCTGATTGGCCGGGGTCCCTCCTGCTTCGGATCTTTGTGCTGATTGGTAGGCTTGCGCCAGTCGCCATGTTGTGTTGCTGAGGGGAACGGAGTGGGCCCTGAGGGAAAGGCGGAAGCTGTAAGTAGAGAGTAATAGGAATGGTGTACACTGGTACTGGAGGAGTATACTGGAAAAGGGAAAAGAGAAAGTGAAAAAGCGACGTGAGGAAGGAAGGAAGGAAGGAAGGAAGGAAGGAAGGCAGGCAGGCAGGCAGGCAGGGGCAAAGATGGAGAGAGGGCTAGAGGGCAGAGCGGGGAGGGCAAAGGAGAAGGGACGGGGGTGGGAGCGAGGGAGGAGGTGGTTGTGTGGGAAATGTGATACAGAGGGCTTGGGGTAGTGGGAGGCGGTGAAGGTTATATGGAGTGGGGAAGGGGAGGGAAAATGAGATTGTTTGAGTACTCCGTCGGGGGAGTTGGGAGGGGAAAAAGAGGTTAGGGAGCGGGTAGGAGAGGAGGGAGAACGCATAGGACTGGAGTAGGTGGTAGGGAGAAGTCAATGGAGTTGGGTGGTGTGGCGCGGGGAGGGTGGAGAGAGGCGTGGGAGGAGGCGTAGGAGGGTTGGAGGAGAGGGGCGTGGGAGGGGGCAGGGGAGGGTTGGAGGAGGTTGTATTGGAAAGATTATACAGAGGATTTCCAGATGGTTGGGGGCAGTAGGAAGCGGTGAGGATAATATGGTGCGGGTGAGCGGAGGGAGCATGAGAGATTTTTGGAGTTCTCTTGAGTATTTAGGTATAGCGTGCAAGTTGTACACAAATATCTTTAATACAATAGGTCTGAGTATGATGCAGTGCAGTGTTTGATTATTTTGAACCTGTGTTGATAATAACAAAGTGATGATTCTCCCTATAACTGCATGTTACTTGGGAGTGAAGGAGTTTCTGTGCCACCTGTACTTCGAAATGCTGGTACCCTTTGTTTTGTGAGGTGCTGTCAAAACAACACTGGGAATTTCATGTAGCTGTTATAGTGGTGGTAAATTTTTCATGTTGGTCAAAAGACTGCTGCTGCACTAATCCAAGCAAATGAAGGGTATTCAGTTCGATTTTGTGATCCATACTGTTTGTCGGTGATAAGGTATTTTGGAGGCTAGGAAGTAAGCACTCTCTCCAGAATACCATTCGTCTCTAGCCTCTATTTTACAAGATGAGGCACTTGTGTGGAATGTCCAATTGAGTGTCTGGTTGGATTGTTCTCTTTGGAGGGGAGAAGGCTAAGAGAAGATGTGAAGTGGTTTTCAAAATCATGAAGGAGCTGGATTGAGGAGATAGGGCAAAACTGTTCCTGCTCATAAAAGAAGTTAAAATGAGAGGACACTGATTTTAAAGCTATATATAAAAGAAGCAAGTGATGTGATGGGGGGAATAAATACATTCATCTGATCCAAACCACTCAGGAATGGACTGCCTGGAAGTATAATAGGTATGTGTTAACTTCAGGGCAAGTGGGGCTTGAACCCAGACACACTGGCCCAGATGTAGTGATGCTGCCACTGTGCCACAAGACCCCTACGGAAAATGTGGTATGGGCAGGTTCACTTGAGGCATTCAAAACGGCATAGAATGTGCAAGGATATGGGGAAGAGCAGGAGAATGCCACCAAAATACGATGCTCGGAGACGGTACACAGGCAATGGGCCAAATGGCCTCCTGCACCATAATGTTTTTCTGATTTTTGTGAAATATTGAAAGCCATTTTTCAGTCCAAACCTGAATATTTCATGTCAATGTGCTACAAGACCTGGATGGCTTAAATATCTAGGATATTGCAAATAGAGCTGAGCACAATACGCAGTACCCACTTTCTTGATTTCATGGCAAAAGGAATGAAGCTCAGAAGGCGGTTGAACCCTGGAAGTTCCTCAATTAGGAATCCGGGAGTATGTATCTCAAGTAATCAGGATCTGAGTGTTAATTTGCATTGAACTTCACTGCACATTGCACAAGGCCAATCGCTTTGATGTTTATGTTGATGTTTATAACTTACATGATGCAGTTATATTAATGTACATTTTGCCTCAATTACTAAGAATATGCAAAATATGACAGCCAGTAAATGAATAAAATATATGGGATCATATGACACAATGCTTGAGCCCCCTTTTCTGTTATTAAAAGTATCTGTATAATGCCACCAAGTTTTATTTTATTTTCTATTCAAATTAGTTGCACAATGAAATGTGCTTTAGTTTTCCTTAATGTTAAACTAGTTGATTGTACTGAGCAACGAACCAGTCGAAATGTGGACATATCTTCAACAAGAAAGTGACTGTGTTGTGGAGTATTTTGTTTTCGTTGCTGTTGCTGAAAATCCAGCTTTGCAAGGTTGTAATATTTGGAATGTGTACCTTGTGCTGCAGAAGGAACAGTGGTGTATTCATTCAAGCGTTAGCATCAAAATGTCTCCAATGACATTTCGTTGAACTTGGATTTGAAGGAGATGTTGTGAACTCTCTGATTAGTTTTGGGGCCGACCTGGCAGTTTAAGGCATCATGACCAAATTGCTGTTCTGTTAGCCTTGTTCACATGCCAAGAATCAATGATCAGAAATAAAAATATCTCACCCCTCACTTCAAAGATGAATAAAACATGCTGCCTCAATCTCAAGTGGGGGAACACAATATACCCCACATGGAGTAATAAAGCATCAGATACCTCAACTGGGTGAGTGAAGCATTTAATGTCCAATTTGTTTAGAAAAATGATATTTCTACTTCCTGTGGATATTGACTGACTTGGGTTTCAGTGTGTGTTACCTGACTTATCTCTTTTCTGCCTGTTCTGGTACTCAAATAGAAGTCACAGCCTTGTTGCCTTCATGTAAGATTTTTTGAAAAGTTGCTAGGTCTATTTCTGACTGCTGCTATCAGTCTCCATTTGTCTTAAGACTAGGCACTGACTCTAATAACAGTACTTCTGATTTCTGATGTCATGCCGGGGAATGGGTGTGTCTTTAAAGTATGACTTCAGTTGACGCATTGGACCCTGAATGACCTAATAAATATCGAGGAGGGTGATGTTGTGAATCCTTGCAGAAAAATGTATCCACTAAGGGGCAGTGATGGCTGTTACAAGACATTCAGTTAGAGAAATAAAATGACTTTTGCAAATCATGTTTTCAAATTTAAGATGTATATATGTTTTTGCTGTAAGTGAATGGCAAGTTCTGTCATTATTGGCTGTATTTTGAGAAGTGTGGTAATTGTTGAAAAAAAGAATGTTCGAGGTTTTTGACTTGCACTTATCAGGATAGGTATAAGAACCAAATCTCAAACAGAACAACATACTGCACAAGAGAAATGTTGATTTTAGGCTCTGGCCAAAGCTTTGCTATGGAGAGTGCACCAGGGAGCTGTTGTCCCTGTGTTTTTTTTTAATTGCAGATGTTATATCATAGGCAGAATGTCATTTTAATTCAATAGCATTCTGTCAATGAAGGTTATCACCTGTGTTGCTACTGCATCATAGCAGTTTGAATTGGTGTCAGGCCTGCACATGAGCAAATGGCTGAGCCATATTCACAAGGTTGTTGATGAGGCTGGTCTGATAAGAGTAGAAGACGGTTAGCTCAGTTGGCTGGACTGCTGGTTTGCAATGCAAAGTGACATCAACAATATGGGTTCGGTTTCCATCCCAACTGAGGTTACCATGAAGATACCACCACCTCAACCTCACCCCGAGCCTGAGATGTGAACCCTCAGGTTAAACTCACCACCAAATGTCTGTCTGTCTGTCTAATGAGAGAGCAGCCATATAGTCCTGAGGGACCATGTGGATGTTATGGGACCATGTGGATGTTATGTGACATGTACAGCAGAAGGAATCTTCGTGCATATATTCACTGATGAAGGGTTTTCATAGACAAGAGACTCCTTTTAGCAATTTTCTCAACTAGTCCATCAAGGAAAGGGAATTGCTTCGACTGCCCTCCACTAAAGGTCAATTTCTAAAGGATGTAGCCCATTAAAGTTTGAGAAGATTCTATGTGGAGCCACAGATTCAAATATAGTAAATGTATCTTTTACATATCAGAAATTTGCAAAGAATAAGAGGCGATCAATCAATTTGCCTTTTTAAATTTGAGTAAACATTTGGTGGGATCATGAGACAAAAACAGAAATTCCTGGAAAATCTCTGCTGGTCTGACAGCACCTGTGGAGAGAAATCAGAGTTAACGTTTCGGGTTCAGTGACCCTCCTTCAGAATGAATAGTAGCTAGGAAAAAGACAGTTTTTATACAGAAGATGGGGAGCGGGAGAGAATAAAGGACAAGTATAGGTAGAGCCCAAAGAGAGAGGAAAACAGTTGGTTTGACCTAGCTACTATCGGTTCTGAAGAATGGTCACTGGATCCGAAACATTAACTCTAATTTCTTTCTAGATCTGCAGAGATTTTCCAGCAATGTCTGTTGTTTCAGATATCCAGCATCCTCAGTTTTTTTTTGTTTTTTGACTTGGTGGAATCATGTTCACTGGTGCACTGTGTTGGTGTGTCAATTTGTTAGAGCCCACTTGTTAACCAGTCAGCATCCTTTGTCTCGTGCCGTAAAATATTTCCTTTGAAATTTGATATTCTTGCATCTGCCCTCGCAAAATCGCCAGCATGTCTCTTGTCCGACAAGATTCAAGTTCTTTGCCACCAAGCAACTCATTTTACCAGCTTTCAAATGCATGGGGACTGCAGTAATTCATCACGTAGATTTACTAACCTTTGAAATTGTGTTACCAGGAAACCTTTTCAGTTGCCACTATTTAGATGGGTCACTACTGTATTTCCAAAAGATTCTACCACTAAGATATGTGATTAATGGACCAGACAATAACCCCTATATTAAACTATTGTAATCAACTATGCTCCAATTACACATTTGTGCAGTTTTTCATGCACAGTAACACTTTTAGCAGAATACAAG